CACCCAGTGGCGTAACGCAACCGTGGGGGGCCCTCCGTCAATCGGCCACTTTGGGCCCCTTTGCTCCACTAAAAATAGGCTCCAAAAATTTTTCTTGGAACAATTTATTTTTGGCGACCTCCCCTCCCCCCGTCGCTAAAAAATTTTCGGACATTGTACAATTTTAGGTGTCCAAAATTTTTTCCGGACATACCCAATGAAATTGCAATTAATTCATTCTACTATCTCGTCCTTTACCTCACCCGCGACGTGCTTAATCCGTCGCAGCTTCGGGAAATTTCTCGACGGATTTTGCCTTTTTCAGAGAATGGGTTTTTTTATTCAATTCAATTAATTCAATTCCCCAGAAATGTGCTATCAAATTTTTTAAGGTCTCTGAGATCGTGGGTTCGGTTCTCGCTGCATGTGGACTCATGTGAAAAGAGCCTGTGAACGCTCTGCCGAAAGTCGTGGGTTTTCTCCCGGCGCTCCGGTTTCCTCCCACCGGGAGAGTTGACAGGGTGGGTTAGGATAAACAAACTTTGCCTTTGGAAAAATATTTATACTTAGTTATAGCCACGAAACAATATATAAATTTTTATTGTGTGTTGGTGTTGTGTACTCAGGTGAATATGATGTTTGTGATGTTACTCTGAGTGTATATCCACACCGGGCGCGCTTGAAAAATATGCCCGGCCACGGTGGGAATCGAACCTACGACCTTTGGAATACTAGCCCAATGCTCTGCCAACTGAGCTACGCGGTCAGGACGGTTCGAGTAAGTGATATTTCGGAACAGAATATTTCGAAGGAACTTGATTCTGTTCCGAAATATCACTTACTCGGACCGTCCTGACCGCGTAGCTCAGTTGGCAGAGCATTGGGCTAGTATTCCAAAGGTCGTAGATTCGATTCCCACCGTGGCCGGGCATGTTTTTCAAGCTCGCCCGGTGTGGATATACACTCAGAGTAATATCACAAACATGATATATCAATTCATAAACATAATTCATAAAAGCTAATTTATATATAGATGCCACGAAAATGACCATAAAATAAAATACGTACAGTCTTTTGTAGAAAGTATGCAATTCATTCAAACAAAAGTCGATATAAAGTGACAAAATAAAGGTTATGTCCAACGTCAGGTGAAATAAACAAAATCATAACAAAAGGCGGGATAATTATAATTCCTGCCGCGAGTGAATTTACTCAAAACATCATCGTAGTAAGTAAGTAAGTAAGTATAAGTAAGTAAGTATAAGTATAATTCTTTAATGCCTCCATATTTGAAGATACGAATATTTACAATTATAAATAATTAATTAAAATTAATTTAAAAAAGACAAACAACACACAAACTAATGAATAGTTTCTGAATCCAAATAAATGTCAATGTAACTGGTTATTGTTATTATCTGCGAAATCGACTCAGCAACGATAATATAAAAGTTTTGTACTTGGTTATTATCATGACCCTGCATGAATTGCATGTTTCCAAAGATCGTCTGCATCAAATTGTTCTCATCTAACGAGTTAATGTTTACTACGAATTCCACTGGAAAGAAATCTGTGATACGTTCCCATAATTTTGTTCTTGCTAATTGTGTTTCACAACAATGCAACATAGCATGTTTTACAGGATTTATGTAGTAGTTACCACAAGACATGCAATGAAATTGTGTTTTTTCCCCAGTAAATCTCACACCATTCACATAGAATGACCCACAAAGAATTTTAACAATAATTGCCACTTGGTTGGCCATCTCGCTGTTTTCGAGAGCAAACTGCAGCCACAAGTTACGCATTGGTTCTTTTACGACTTGGCTGTATAATCCTAATTGTTTATAACGTTGCGTTTTGATCTTCCAAAACTCAATCTCCGTATGATTAATATTCTCAATTACTGTTTTCTTCCATTCAGATTTACTGGGAAAATTTCCAGACTGCAGAAAATTGTCCATATACTCCCACAAGCAATACTTCTGTAAGATTCTAACCAAATCTGGTACAAAACCAGTGATTTTGTTCGGATTCCATCTCCATCTATTAAGTCGTATCATGAATACCCTGCGATGTACACAGTCCTCACTTGCACATATTAGTCGTCTGAGAAACAGAAGCTTTCGTTTGTCTATTTCTGCTCCGACCGTCCAGAGACCAAGAAGTCCACGTGCAGCTGAACCCGAGGTACCACTAAGTAAACCCAGACATACTCTTAAAAATATATTCTGTACCTTTTCCAATTTTGATAGTTTTTCTCGATTAAGTGTCCACAACTCAGCACCGTACAACATTTTCGGCAGAGCAATCCGTGCCCACAGCTTAGTCGCCACCAATGGATTCATCCCATTAAATCTACATCCCAGAAATTACTAAACCAATGCCGATAGCCTGACCTTTCTTCGCAGCCTCTAGTATTGGAATAAGGCTGGAAACGTCGGTGTGCCAATCTTTTCCAAGATTATGCCAGATACTTTTCTCCATGATTTCTTTACCTCCTGTAAGCCACCTTCTGTTCGTAACTGCCGATATGTTATCTCGTTTTTCGCCAAAGGTCAGCACAACAGTTTTTTTCTCATTAAAAGTAAGTCTCCATTTTAGGCTATAGTTATGAACTTGTACAAGCATGTTATCAAGACCTCGTTTTAATCTTGACATAAGCGTAAGATCGTCAGCAAACATTGGTGATCCAACAAACAAATTTTGAATAACTATACCAGTGGATAGCTTTTCCAGCTCGCTTATCATGTCATCAATGAAGAGAAGAAATAGCCATGGCGATAATACCCCACCTTGTCGAACCCCCTGTAAGATATCATACTGTCTGGAACGTTTACCATTATAAAAGACATATTCCTCCATGTCTGAGTACCAACCTTTTATTAGCCTCCAGCACTTTCCTCTAATATTTACGTTGTGATATAATTTAAACAACATACCATTTATTCATACTTTATCAAATGCCTTTGAGACATCAACATAGCAGGCAAATACTTTATCGTTTTCCTCGCAACAATGCTTAGTTGACTCGTCAATAACAAATGAAGTCGTCAAGGCGTCACGCTCAGCTTGGTAGGCCCCTTGAAGCGGGTGGTGTCGACATCTTATTTTATTTTGAAGCCTGTTGAGTACTAAACGTTCGAAAATTTTGTTAAAAGTACAAAGAAGAGTAATTCCTCTGTGATCATCGAATTTAGATGCACAGCTCTTCCCTCCCTTTGGAATTGGAATTTTGATTCCTAACTTTAATTGTCTTGGAATGTACTCCAATTCAATGATCTTATTATAAAGTATCAACAGCTTGGCAGCCAGAATATCCCCAGAGTATTTAATATGTTCATACGTTATGCCATCATCACCGGGAGCTTTATTATTTGGTAATTCTGTTAGCACATCCTCGATCTCTTTTAAAGTTATGGGATCCTGAAAGATATCATCAAATTCAGCTAAGGAGTTTTTTGTTATGTCACTAACCTCGATATCGATATACTCCCTGAAGTCATCATCAAAATTTGTATTTTCCTCAGGAGTTAAAAGTTTTTCATAGTAATTAGCCCACACATCTGCTATTTCTTCTGGGTTTGAGATAGTTCTTCCATCATTCGTTGTGAGCACATTAGTTGATCTTTTCTTCTTTCTACGTCGGTTTACATATTTCCAAAACCTGATGTGATCGATCTCGGTATATTCCAGTAGGGCTTGATGGACTTCTTATACTTCGCACGAGGTAGACATTTGTCGCTGCTTTTTATGCTGCGACAGATCAAACGATAATAGTTCTCAACGTCATCACTGGTGTATAAGGTATCATCCATTGTTGTGATTGTATCATTTAATCTCCTTTGATATTCTAGTACTTGTTCCGAAGCACATTTTCTCCACGCAATTCGTTCATACTCGTTTTCTAAATTATTAGATGATTCATGGCAGTTTATACCAGCAGAAATTTCAATGCCAGCAATCAACGGCAGATGATAAGATAAATTGCACGGATGTTCGTCGCCAACTTTAACACACTTTACAATTCTTTCGATGTTCTTACTCGCAAAAATGTAATCAACAACACTGTTACCACAACTTGAGTAATACGTGAATAGCGGACCCATACAGGGCATATCCACGTTAACTGGAAACATGTCAAATTCAGCAAACATTTCAAGGAGTAGTTTTCCTCTATTATTTTCACGTTGACCTGAACGTGGATCCGATACATGTACGTTAAAATCGCCTGCAATAATGATTTGCTCTTCTCTATAACTTAATTGAGTGCACACTGCATTAAGGCAAGTTAGAGTGTCGATAAAATCAGCCAAGTTACTGTTCGTTGATGGAAAATAGATACTACAGAAAACATAATTCTGATTATTCATTCGAAATTTAATTGCTACGATCCTATCATTTCCGAGTAATAATCGTTGTGCCTTGAGATGTTTTTTCCAAACAATCGCGACGCCCCCCTGACCTCGCTTCCACCTTGTGTTCATATTATTTTGTTCGGTTGTCTTTGCATAATACAAAAAATCGTTATGTAAATTGTCTAATATAGTAAGCTCATCGGCGTATAACCAATGTTCTGAGATGGCTAAAACATCTACACTTTCAAGTAGCTTTTGCATTTAAACGAAGTTCGATTTGATGCCTCCGCAGTTCCAACATGCAATGTTTATGAAGGCGGTTCTCTGGATGGATCTCTGTCAGATTTCACTGACCGTTTTTCCCATTTATCTTTGGAGAGCCATTCCCTTGCGTATACATTTTTCGGCCAAAAATTTGGTTCAAGAATCTCCTTAATATCTGAAACTTTGACATTTATACGCACAGCAACGGTGCCGCTTCGCCGACTTTTCATCATTCGTACGAAAGTCGGCTGAACGCCTTTTCCCTGCATAAATTCTTTTATGGTGCTCGCGTGAACCCCGTACAACTTAATAAACGAACCGACAAGAATTACTGCTACATCTAGCACCCTGATCGATTTATGCCTAACCAATACACCTGTAAATATTGTGAAGTTTGGTGTCATACACGTATATCTATTAGTGACCATTCATTAATATATATGATACGTAAGGCTAACTATATACGAGGAGGCCCCAGAACGATAGATGTTAGAACAATGAAGAACTTCAACAGAGAACTGTTTCTAAGCGACCTTGAACTAAACCATTGGGATAGTGTCTATTGCTCCCAGGACCCTAACGAAATGTTTGATGTCTGGAAAAAAGTGCTCATGAAAACCATAAATAAGCACGCACCACTTAGATCCAGGAGAATTAGAAATAGAAAACTCCCTGGATTACAAAAGATTTAAGACGCCAGATATTTAACCGAGATTACCTAAAAAAGAAAGCTGTTGCATCCAATGATCCTAAAATCTGGAATCAATATCGACAAACTCGAAATCACATTAATAATGAAATTAAAAAAACTAAACAAGCTTATTATAAGAATAATCTTGAATCGAGTAAAGGCAACATGAAAAAAACATGGAACCTTATAAATGAACTAAGCTCTAGAAATGTAAGCAAAACTAAAAAGATAACACAATTAGATTTTGAAGAGCGAGAAATAACTGCACCTGAAGAAATAGCTGAAACATTTAACAGCTACTTCTCAGGTATTGGTGAAAAACTTGGTTCCGATATTCCTTCTCCTGTGCGTGATCCAGTATTTTATCTTAAACCAACTGATAAATCTTTCTCTCTCGAAACTCCCTCCGTTAACATAGTTTATCAACTGCTGACTACATTAGATGATAAGAAGTCAGCTGGTTTGGACAATATACCAAACAAATTCCTAAAGATAGCTGCAAGTGTTATTGCACCCTCGTTAACAGGAATATTCACTGCATCTATTAATACCGGAATATTCCCGTATGAATGGAAGGCAAGTAGAGTAACGCCAGTATTTAAGAGTGGCACAAGAAATAACCCAGGCAACTATCGGCCTATATCAATTATTCCATGTGTTGCTAAAATTTTTGAAAAAATCATTTTCGATCAACTACATGGGTATCTTGATTCAAATAATTTGCTGAACACATGCCAATCTGGATTTCGACCGTTCCACAGTACCCTAACAGCGTTGCTAGAAGCCACAAGCGACTGGTCCATGAATATTGACAATGGCCTAATTAACGGAGTTGTATTTATTGATTTAAAGAAAGCTTTTGATACGATCGATCATCAAATTATCCTACAAAAGCTTAAAAATTATGGTATTGACGAAAACAGTCTTACTTGGTTTCATTCATACCTCACTGATAGAACTCAAAAGTGCCGGGTAAACGGTCAACTGTCAGATTCTGTGCCAGTGGCCTGCGGTGTACCTCAAGGTAGCAGCCTAGGGCCATTGCTATTCCTCATCTACATTAATGATTTACCGAACTGTCTTGATCATACAACTGCCAGAATGTTCGCAGATGATACAAGTATTAGTTATGCATCCGACTCTGCCAAAGATCTCCAAAATGTCATTAACACCGAATTGAAAGGTCTAAGCGATTGGCTAACCACTAATAAACTAAGCTTAAATATTGTAAAAACAGAATTCATCGTAGTTGGATCTAGACAGAGAATAAAAACACTAAATAATGAAATAGATATTGAGATAAACGGTAATATGGTCAACCAAGTTACTTCGGTAAAATCTCTGGGTGTCCATCTTGATAATCACCTTATGTGGTCTGAGCATACTGACAAACTATGTAAAAAAATTGCTTCAGCCATAGGGGCTTTAAAACGTATAAGATCCTGCATTTCAACGAACACGGCTATCCAAGTATACCAAGCACTGATTCAACCTCATTTTGACTACTGCTGCTCGGTCTGGGATGGTCTTGGCGAAACGCTAAGTTCTAAACTACAAAAATTACAGAACCGGGTGGCCAGGGTCATTACGAGGTCCAGCTATGACACTAATGCTACTGTGCTTCTTGATACTTTACACTTGGATAACTTATCGTTGAGACGCAAAAAACTTAAAGCTGGCTTGATGTTCAAAACACTCAAAGGTGACACACCTACCTATCTACAAAATCTTTTTTCAGTTCGTGGCTCAGAATATAATCTTAGGAACTTTGAAATGAAATTAAATCTACCCAAGCCACGAACTAATTATCTGAAGCGAAGCTTTCAGTACAGTGGAGCAGTGCTGTGGAATAGCCTTCCCGAAAATATAAGAATGCTCCAATCGTTTGCTCAGTTCCGGAAAGCTGTAAACAAGTATTATAATAGTTTAGATGAACTCCCACACGGCAATCTTGTAAACCAGTAGATCATATTCTTTTATTTATTTTTGCATGCTTAAACTTGTATATATTTATATACTGAAGATTCCACCGTGAATAAATAAATTTTTATTGTATTGTATTGTATTGTATTGTATTGGTTTACATGAAGTAGTGCATCGCGACGAACAAGCGCAGGGAGTTATGGGCTTGAGGCATCGAAAATTGAGGAGCGCCTGGGAGATCTTGTGCCGTTTCTTGCAAAATTCGTCTGTTTCTTGCAAATCATGGTTTTTCGACAGTTTTGGGGCTTTTTTCGCCATTTTTTTGAGGAAACAACATTTCAAATTGTTCAATTAAACATGTGATTACAGTCAGATGATATTTGATATCTTTTAACGCTTTGAATGATTCCGAGATGTCAACACTTGAAGAGTTCAACGAGGCTGTAGAAGCCGGTTTATATAATAAATTTAAAAGGTATGGAAAAATGACAATGAATTTTTATCACAATGAGCAATTTATTTTAAAAATATACAACTATACAAGACGTTTTTTAAACAAGGGAGCGATGAAACTATGTTTTGTATTGCATTTGCAAGATTCGTCTCAGGATTTCAGTTACGAGCTTATTTACATGCAGTATGTTTGATTTTCACGATGCAAACGATCGACAATATTTTGAATAATTCGGGTAAGGATAGCTTGAATTATTTCTGGTGATATACATGAAGGGATTTACATTTAGATCTGTTGTTTACTTGTATGTTCGACAGCTATTATGCGCTAACCAGAACGCTCATATCCCACTCCCCTTTGCGCGCCTATAATGTGATGCACTACTTCATGTAAACCTTCATATAGTGACTCGCATGAAATTTTTAATTAGCGCCTGGGGACGAGGCAGCTGAATAATGAAGATGAAGTGTGTGTGTGTATGTGTGTATGTATGTATGTGTGTGTGTGTGTGTGTGTGTGTGTGTGTGTGTGTTTGTCTGTGAGCACGATAACTCAAGAAATACCAAACATATCCGTACGAAATTTTTTGAATGCATTTCCCATCGGCTAAGGAAGAACTGATTAAAATTTGGTTGAATTTGGTTAAAAATTGAACGAGAAATGAACAAAATTTTGTCTTGCTTTTCCCGGTCAATTAACAAAAAATATTACTGAATGCGTAATTAGGACGTGTATAATTTATGCACTCAGTGCTAAGACAATAATGAGATGATAAACCTCATTAAGCTTCGGCCTTCATTATCTATTGTCTTAGTTGCATTTCACGCGACCGAAATTCAATGTCTAAAACAAGGCTTACGGAGTTACGCATTATTACGTTCAGCAAAGTGCCAGTCCATTCAAATTCTAACAACATTAGATTACTTCAATACAGGGTGTATAAAAAGAACGCAACCTCGGAATTTCCCAAGAAATCGACATTGTTTTAAAGAAAAAAGATTTTAGCTGCCTGGGAATTTAAAATAGCACAACTGTAAAAATTACTGCACGCGCGAGTGCATAAAGCAAAATTTATGCATTTATTTAATGACACTTAATAAGTTTTTATTTTACAAGTACTGTACAGTACAACAACAGTAATATGTTCTATTAGCAATTCGATTTCAATTCGCGGGGGCCTGAAATCTTTTATGCTCAGAATTATAAAGTGGATTTCTTAGGAAATTCCAAGGTTGCGTTTCACTTCCGAGTAACGGGCGGAGGTATGCAGTCTCTGAGTGCCCTCTAGTTCTAATAGCAAATAAGATTTAAAACAGGGCTGTACAAAGCGGGGAGAGCGGCAGGGCAAGTGCTCCCCCCCTACCCCCGCACCGAGAAAATTTAACTAATTACCTCCGCCAGGAGGTTATGTAATCATCTGGGTTTGTATGTGTGTATGTGTGTGTGTGTGTGTGTGTGTGTGTGTATGTGTGTATGTGTGTGTGTTTGTCTGTGAGCACGATAACTCAGGAAATACCAAACATATTCATACGAAATTTTTTGAGTGCATTTCCCATCGGCTAAGGAAGAACTGATTAAAATTTGGTTGAATTTGGTTAAAATTTGAATTAGAAATGAACAAAATTTTGTCTTGCTTTTCCCGGTCAATTAAAAAAAACCTCACTGAATGCGTAATTAGGACGTGTATAATGTATGCACGCAGCACTAAGAAGACAATGAGATGATAAACCTCATTAAGCTTCGGCCTTCATTATCTATTGTCTTAGTTTCATTTCACACGACCGAAATTCAATGTCTAAAACAAGGCTTACGGAGTTACGCATTATTACGTTCAGCAAAGTGCCAGTCCATTCAAATTCTAACAAATTAGATTACTTCAATACAGGGTGTATAAAAAAAAACGCAACCTCGGAATTTCCCAAGAAATCGACATTGTTTTAAAGACAAAAGATTTTAGCTGCCTGGGAATTTAAAATAGCACAACTGTGAAAATTACTGCACGCGTGAGTGCATAAAGCAAAATTTATGCATTTATTTAATGACACTTAATAAGTTTTTATTTTACAAGTACTGTACAGTACAACAACAGTAATATGTTCTATTAGCAATTCGATTTCAATTCGCGGGGGCCTAAAATCTTTCATGCTTAAGAATTATAAAGTGGATTTCTTAGGAAATTCCAAGGTTGCGTTTCACTTCCGAGTAACGGGCGGAGGTATGCAGTCTCTGAGTGCCCTCTAGTTTTATAATGTGATTATGATTGTAACAGATAATTATGCAGTCAGGAAATAAAAATTTCATGCAAACATTAATATTCAAAGTGTCTATAGAGCCGGCTATTTAGTAAACTGTCACCTGTCAATTCAATCCATACTCATCAAATTTTCAAAACTTTATTGTAATTGAAGATGATGAGTGAAGTATATAATTCAATTCCAGTTTTGTGCACAGTTAATGATATACCACACTGTTCAGTTTAATACGTACGGCACATTCACACAAAAACAATTGTGTTGTGGGAGATTATCGGTTTCAGTAGAAGGTATCACAAGTTTATTAGTTTTGTACATTGTGTGCCATTGATCAAATCCATCCATATAATTATTTATTGTAGCTGTCAAGTTATTTTCCATTCTAATAAATTTAGGTAAGATTGTCTTGCAAGTGGGTTGTTCTGACAAAATTATCCAACCAATATCCAGTAAATTTATTCTTCCTTCTTGTATTAACCTCTAAAAAAAACATTTATGTTAGAAAGCCAAATGACGATGTAAAGAGGCTCAGGATTCTTTTATTAGCATTTGAAAATTTTGTTAATTAACTCTAATGTGTAAAACCAAAATGTATAAGTATTTTATGTTACAGAATCAATATGCAGAAATACAGACCAGGATTTAATTCAATATCTCCTGAGAACTGTCCAATAGTTTCCTTTGATATTGTTCATTGACAATATGGCAATATATTGCTATGTTTTTACTGTTTAAAATATTACAGAAGTCACAGAAGGATTGTTTTTAAGACTGTATAAACCCTATAAATCTTTTTGTGAACTATGTTGACAAATGCATGGCTTAAAATATCCAATATTTTATACAGTGTAATATATTAAAAAAATTCCAGAGTGCATTCCATGTAAACTCTACGCCGAAGATACGGCAATATTAACTATAGATAGTACAGTAAATATTTGCCGAACTGGTGAACTCATGTATTATAAAATATTTGGGACATATATTCGCACAAATTTGGTATTTAAATATATAATATGTGGTATTTGACTACTTACCAGATGAGGATAAGATTCCATGTTGATAAATAACTTCGGAATAATATCGCAAGTAGAATGGCGAGAAAACAAGACAGCCAATTCAAGATAAATTGATAAAAATATAAATGTATTTTTGAAAGAATATAAGCACGATTTATACACGAGCACGAGCCCTGACGAGGCTAAAGTATGCCCGTTCGCAGGTTAGATGCGGGCACGATGTAAACAATTGATGTAAACGAATCGCTGATTGGCTTAAATTGGCTTAAATTATATAAGCGCGTCGCTGAATGGCTATGTGCTAACATACGGTAACATTACGGTACGGTACAGTCACGTTTGCGATAGCAATATATCTGCTTCGCAGATACAAAAATTATCGTGTTACCATGACAACTACTTTAGATACTTCATGTTCGGAAAATACAATGGTTTTGTCAGCAAGGCTAGGGTTTCTGCATGCATGTATTTTCTAGTACTGTATATAGTTTGCTATACAATACTAGCCGGCCTACAATATGAATCTTACGGCAAGCGAAAACGCGCATATAGAGTCGTAGGATATTTACTTGCACTTAAAATTCCCTGTCAGTTTAATTTACAGTCGTTAAACATACAGAAATAGACCGATAGACAGTTATTAGACACACATGCATTGAAATATTATGTATAGCTATAAATTACAAGGCATTTGTTTGTATTTTTGTTCGTATTTTGATTGACCGAAAGGTTTTATTATCATACGCAGTACGATGAAGGTTTTCTTTCCATCGCGGCTTATGTTTTGTGTACGTGAGAAACTATCAAGTTGCTGTGATGTATATTAAACTTTGAACGAGTGATGGAAATTATCCTTTCAACTTCAAA